TTGATAGTCTACATGAAGTCTATCGCGCCAGTTTTTGTACGACAGAATGTCTCCATTTCTTCATACTGGTGTTGGCTTTTGGATGCCTCTGGAGGCAAAAGGCCGATCGGTTACCAGTGAACTGTGACAAATTTGGAGTAGTTGCAGAATATCCCGCCACCTTAAAAAAAAAAATGACCCCTGGAATGACTGGTTACGTGGGCACGAGGTGAAAATCCCTTGAGAAGAGAGTGACACTTTGACCTGTACCTGGCTATGAGGTTGATCATGCCGGGTGGCGGGGTATTCTGCAATGGAGCTTCAATTTTTGTCGGGGAGCGTCGCCTAGTTTTCCATTTTCACCCTTACCATTTTCCACCGTAGCTTTCCGTCAGAATGGCGATCATTCTCTCCACTGATCCCAGGATGGCACGATGGACCATAACCGGTCTCTTCTCAATCCCCTCAGCACTGTCAAAGCAAGAAACAAGAAAAGACAGCTGTAAACGGGAGTGATAAACAGTTTTATATTGGGCATAATGCAAGTCTTAGCACGCTTGTGAAAGTAAAAAGGTGGCATCTTGAGCGATAATTCGAATGAGCCCGTCTGCAGAGATGCCAACTTTTCAAAATAAAGAAGCGTAATCCTATCGCACTTCCATGTTCCGGTTTCCCGGCGCGACCCTAAGAACTTTCATCGGCAAATTGGAAAGAAAAAAAAAAGTTTAAATAAATCCTGTCCTCTCTTCTTTTAAGACAAACACCTGTAAGCAACTTCTTTTCACGTCCAAACACTTTGTGTTTACCTGACTAGCATTGTGCAAATGTGAATTGTAATTAACTGTTGATAATATTTCCACGTTAATGCTGGTAAATTTGTATTTCAATCACTTTGGTAGCAATTTTGGCAACTTTTATTCCATTCAATCAGCACAAAAATGGTCAAAAAATCCTTACCTACCGACCCTATTTAATCGGAAGCAGAGCTATTTGTTCTTTGCCTAACTAATGTGCTTGACGGTGTCGTAAGATCCAGTGTGGGCAATGTTTATCTTGTCACAGTTACATGCGTTGCAAAACACGTAAGCTTCTCCACAACAAGACTTTGCAATAAAGGCCCATTTTTGTGGTGCATTCGTCCCCGAACTCCTGCTCACTTGCTGCCACAGTGCAAAATAAGTCCAGTTGCTCACCAAATATCCGAAAATCAGATCCTCGACAGTCCTCCACTCCGGTCAACTTCGGGACTACCATGATGTTCGACACACGTGTGTACGATATCGGTACATGTACAATGCATATGGACGTACACAATCATGTTGCGATCGTGCCTATTCGCCCCCAGTTCATCATAGCATTAATCGGGGTGAACGGATGATTCAACCACGCTGGTTCCTACTGCTACTAACGCAGATTGTATGCACAAAGTGCGGGATGCCAGCGACACATTTCTGACACACGCATTATGAGGCAGGCTCTGTGCTAGCTTGCGTAGAGTTTATACACAACTGTATGGTTTTGTACCATCGAGTTGGAAATCGTAAAAATCGTAGCCTGGATAGTACAGTCGTAAACGGGATAACAAATCGTAAAAATTACGCCTAAATCGTACAAGTTGGCATCTCTGCGTATGGTATTTCAAAAAGGCACGTCCATTCAAGCACGAACCATACGAGCGTGTCCCAAATGACGCTGCGCATGCGCTGTTGGAACACTCAATTGGCTCGCTGACCCAAGGTGTGACAGGCCTTGAAATGATTTGAGAGACTGTTCTACAGTTTGGGAGCAGCGAATTTGGAAGGCGCACCGACTGCATGATTTTGCGGCGACTGGCAGGGGAATGAGGAGACAGGAGCTTGGGTGGCGAGTTTTTGGGCAGATTGCATTTGTTGATAAAAATCTTGGAGGGCAAAGTGCAGCAAATCCATGCAGACACTTGTCAACACCAAAGTGTCTGAGATTTAACCGATCGTCAGTGCACTTAAAGGAGTCCCAATGCCACTCGTTTGTAAACGTTTGTGGGTGCAAAATGTAGTGTTTGGTGTATCAGCACAAAGCGAGAGGCAAAAAACGGCAGTTCACTGAAGCAGGATCTTCACATTGAAACTTCGGAACACTCAGAAAACACTCTGCCAATGCAGCTATGTGACAACTGAGCAATCCCAGTAGGCTTGCGGACTCACAAAGAGCGTAACAGCGGCATATGCTTTTACCTGGAGTACTTGAGGTTGAAGCGGATGGGGAGTTGGAAGTCTAGCTGGATGGTGGCGCATTGATGGGACCGTTTCAGGGCATCCATGATGTTGATATCGATCTGGCAACGGATGACACAGGGTAGCCACACGGTCATTAGCAAGGTGGGGGGGGGGGGAATGCGTTTTCCTGATTGCTACTACGCGCGCACCTCGTTCAGATCCCTCGATTGAGGGCCAAATCTCAAGTACAAGTTCGTTGGCCGTCATGTGTTGGTCGCCAGTTTTGCTGTACACTGAGCAAGGATCCGGGCGAAAGGGTCTACACAATGAATTTTTCTCAGAGGCGTATTTCCTCGACTCTGCGAATGAAAACTGTGTAACTTTTGGGGGTTCTACATATTGAAAAGTGCACTTGGTATTGAAAAGCGAGCTTGTTTTCCCAGAAGACTGAGGGTGCTGTCACTGCAATGTCATACTGAGAAGACACAATCCAATTTATTCTGTTGACTTTCTGAAACATTTTCTGCTCAGTTAAAATATTTCTGAAACTGGGGCTGCTCAATGGCTCTGTGCCAAGTACGTGAATTCCCCCCCTCAAATATCCAACTGCAAATGTTGAAACTTCCAGCAATTTCTGTCAAAATCAATGTAACAGTGAGGTCATTCCTGCGGGAACAACCTCGCAGTTTTGTTCTTGAACACGGAAATTTGCACGAGCAAAATGTCCACAAGGGCACCAAAACACCGTTGAATACACCAAAACAAAATACTGAAAATAAATTCAATTGAAATGCAAAGGGGGTTTTCAAGGGTTACAGTCAGAGAAAACGCATTTCACAGACCCAGTAAGACTGTCGCCGGTGGGCAGCCTATTACGGGGGGATTTCATGAAGAAGTCATGGAATTTCTGCATGAGACAGTGGACGTGCATGGACATCAGCCTAGCTACAAACAAAACAAACCATGGCGGCACACAAAAATGTGAAGGCTGCACCGTATTGTGGACACTCCGCCGAAAATCTGGCCTGCACACTCCTTGGCATGCTTGCGATGACCGTTACCTTTGGTCCGTAGAAAGCGCCGTCCTCAGGGTTCAGTTTCCAGTCTTTGGTGAATTCGCTGAGTGTGGCTGCAAGTTGCTGGAACAATGTAAAAGAAAGATCACAGTTGAACGGACATAATTATGATAAGTTATCACAAGCGCGCGCCGAACACAAAATGATGAAGTGCGTCTGTGTCCCGTATACCACGAGGCCGATGATCAAGTGGTGTACGGGACACAGACGCACAACATTATTCTGTATTCCACGAGCACGAACGAGATAACCAATGTATCTTCAAGCAAGCTTGACGCCCAGAAGGGGCCTAGATGCGCAACAGTAGGGGCCTATATGCGCAACCTTTGAAGTTACAGTAAAGTTTGCAGCGATGCGTTTTACTTTTTAGCGTAAAAAATAGCGTGATGTGTTATTAAGGACAGAACAGTGCATTATGCAGGGTTTGAAATGAACCATGCAATACTGTTATATATCACACTGTTTGTTGCAATGGATCGACCAATCAGAATTGAGAATTCAAGTTTGCTTGAAGATGAAACTCTATGCACGTGTAAGCTGTCTTTTCAGTTCTAGAAATCTTTGCCAAACAAACCCTCGGTATTTATGTACATGCAATTGTTGAAGTGTTTTAGAGGTAATGCTTTCCCAACAGTGCTGTTGGCTTGCATTGCGGACTCTGACTAATTGAACAAACGTGACTTGTGACATTACCACCTTTTATTGAAATGGCTACAAACAAATAATTTAAACGTGCGAAGGGAACACGTCCATTTTAATTACACTGATGTTTTAACATAAGAAAAATTCAGCATACAGTGACAAAATTAGGCAGATGGGTCAGAACTGTTTGTAAAACAACAAAGTTCACATCATTGGATCGGACAAGCAAAGCTCAGGACCTGATGACTTGGGAAAAACAGACTAGCGACTTGATGTGCCTTTCAGAAAATTTAGTGGCGACATGAGCTATAGGAAAATGACTAGGTTACCACATCACCAAACGGTTATAACTGTTTTCTCTACTTGTCATTTTCATGTCTGGAGTACCTTCTCTGCATTGTCCCAGACTTCGATCTCTCCCAGGAACTTCTTAGGGCGGGTGGAGAGAGCCAACTTGTAGGTGAAGCCGAAGGTTTCGTAGACAGTCTTCAAGAAGTCCAAGCAACCCATGATCTCTTGCTGGATCTGTTGATGAGCAAGTAGTTTACAAGATTTAAATAACCGTTGCTGGTACTTGGAGCTGGCGAGCGACTTGACGTGGCTTCGTATCATGTCAGTGCTTTTTGGAAAACCTCTCGTAGTCATTTGTGGATTATCTGTCGCAAGCTCTCAGCTGATGTGAAAGACAGCTCTCAATGTGAATGCTTCATAAACGCACTTGGGATGTATTTGGTGCGGGAATGAGACAGTGACAACACGCAGATCCAACAGCTGTTACGTAATGACCGGACAAGCAACGGGGCAAGCACGATGATGACGAGCACCAATACGCAGTGAAAGCGTTCAAATGAAACAGCCATTGGGTGCGCGTACAGAGTCACATGCGGCTGTGCGCCTGCGCGGCAAAGATACACAGATACAAAGATGCAGTTCAATGTTGTTTAACGTTCTTCAATACCACAATGCTCTGGGGATCCACCTGTTTTGAGGGAATGAGCAAACTTCCCGATCGGTGTGCAGCGTGAAAGACTGCTTTCAGATTCTGGTTTTTTTCTTCCCCAACTTTTCAAGTTCTGCATGTGGGCCTTTGAAAACTCCAAAACCAGAATGATTTGAATGAAATTGCAACAACTGGAAGGCATCCACTCAAACAGAAAAACTGGTCCTGCACACTCAGAGCATCCCACACTATAAAATAATACTAATAATGCAGGACATCAATGCAACGGGAGTACTGTGCATGTGAGCTGTAATGGGCTGTTCAACATCAAACACTGTACACAATGGTCCGGTCCATCGGCTTACCATTTCCTGGGTGCAGAATATATGCGCATCATCCTGCTGAAAGCGTCTGACCCGAGTCAGTCCGGTGAGGGCGCCAGACAGCTCGTTGCGGTGCAGCACACCAAAGTCTGCCATGCGGAGGGGCAGCTCACGCCACGATCGCGGGCGCTGATCAAACATGAGGCTGGCAAGAGCAATACGGAATGGTTTCTTATTCACACGTGTACAAGAACGGGAACCCTCTCTCCCTAGGTAGATATACTAGCCAACCTTCCACATCCTTGCAAATCTCAACACCAGACAGTAAACTCTACACATAAAAAGCTGGACTCTGTCCATCTGTGGCATGCCGCATCCCGCCTAAAACACAGCCAGTATACCGGCACAGCACTCATCCTAACGGGCGCCAACAAACCCTGGTGTTGGATTTTGGCTGGTTTGGGATCATTAGGGTTAAGGTTTTTAATTGGAGACAGTTGTGGGAAGACCTAGAAATATTTTAGACAATTCTAGAATTTTGGCCAGTGGATACTGTGCACTATTAGGAGAATAAAAAGAGATATGCCCACCCCCTGAGTTATCCTTCACGTTCAGCCTAGATTTGACTGAACACAGTGACGATGCCATCGAGCAAAATGTGGTCAATTCATGGGCTTTTGGACAACTTTTGAGTCAACTTCACTGCTGTGAAAACCCTTTGTTGGTGAGCTCACAAGTTAGGTTAATCATAACACAGAAAGATGCGATCTCGGCAAATTAGAAAAAGTTGGGATCTGAGGGCAAAATTCCAGACTAAAGACTCCTTCTACTTGATTGCATCCCAAGGAACCACAGGTTTGTGACATGAATTCAGATGTTGGCCCTTTGAACAGTGAGGATTCTTGACTTTCACACACTTGCAGTAACCGCTCTTACCAGTGGCCGGGGCAGTTCATCGGTTTCAGCGCGTACTTCTCCTTCTCTACCTCAAATGCAAACATGTTATCCTGCGGAACGGAAACATAAAAGCCAACATTGGTATTGCGGACGCTCTGCAGAAATATCCATCCGCGAGTCATGCGGCCTGTAAGAACGGTATAGAAAAACAGATCCCTTTCATCCACAGGTTTCCTAGCTCTTCTGTACACCCATCCGAGCACAGCTGGAAGTTGGCATGCCTCAACCAAAATTCTGTGCAGTAAACCCAAATTCCACGCTGACTGGTGCGGAACTGTTGTCTGAGGACGAGTCCGGTATTAAGCAATGCCATCGCTGGTCATTAGCGGTGGCCCCTGCTGATGATGGAAACCAACTGTGATAACTTTTGTGCGGAGTCGCTGTTCTCTGACAGTTACTTTTCACCCACTAAAGGGGACCATCAGAAATGTACCTGAGAAAACTCTTCACACGGCGAACGTTGTTGGTTTTTAACCCTCTTTTGGTTCAACAGCACAAATATGTACGAGTGCCCACAGTCACGCGTTTGCAAATGTTTTCTGCATGGAACT